GGGAATAATATACTATTTTACACCAAATAATCAGATAGTTCTGTATAACAAAACCAAAATTTAATAAGGTAAAAACATAAGGATAAAAAAGAATTATAAAATTAATATATGAAAGTTAATTGTAGCAATTGCCAAAAATTAATAGATATAGAAGCAAGAGATACTTGGTATTTCATTAAGGATAATTTTGATAAGTATGAAAATGATGCTTGATGTTCTAATTGTTTAAAAGCAGTCCAAAAAATTTGTGAAAAGAAATGAGGTATTAATGAAGATTGTCTTTTTGGAGAATACGATGGATTAGTTTTTAAAATAGATGATAAACCTTCTCACGATAGAACAAGTTATAGACATATTATTTGTCCCTGGTGCGAAGTTGAACTTTATAATGCTTTAACTGAAGATTTTAATCAACGAGACTTAAGGGAATTTTGACTAGACCATTATTATCACTTTCATGGAAAAGATAAAGGAAAGTGTGGTAGTAAAGGTCACATAACCAATGAGGGAGCAAAACAGTTAGAAAATTCAGGATTACTTGGGTCTATAGATATTAGAAAGTTATTTTATGTCGAAGGTTCATGAAATTTAAACACAACTATGAGAGAGAGAGAGAGAGAGAGATAAATCTGATTTTAATCATTATTACCGTGACCTTGCTAGTGGTCTTAGTTATTTACTTTAAGGGTAAAAACGAAAGAAAGAACCAAAAATATGATGAAAAAGTTTAAAAACATACTCGAATTATTAAAGGTCCTTCCTAATGAACAAGCCTGTATTAAGCATTTTGAGAAACTAAGGTGAAGAGGAGTTATCATTTCTCCTTTTGACTCCACTTCCAAAGTTTATAAATGTGCTAATAATAAGTGAAAGTGTAAAAACACAGGAAAGTATTTTAACGTTAGAACCGGAACTATATTTGAAAATTCTAATATACCACTACGAAACTGACTTTATGTCTTATACATTTTTGTCAATCATAAGAAGGGCATTTCTTCGCACCAACTAGCCCGAGATATGGAAATTACTCAAAAATCAGCCTGATTTATGCTTCATCGCTTACAGCTTGGGTTTGAATGTCCTATCTTTAAGGCTATGTTAAAAGGAATTGTAGAAATAGACGAAACCTTTATCGGTGGAAAGAACAAGAATAGACACTGAAATAAAAAAGTTCCTCGTTGTCAAGGACGAAACTGAAAAGATAAAATACCAGTCTTGGGAATGCTCGAAAGAGGTGGTAATCTGATAGTTAAAGTAGTTCCTAATACTAGAAGAAAAACCTTAGAACCAATAATTAAATCTAATGTCGAGGTGGGTTCTAATCTTTATTCTGATGATTGATATCGGCACAGCAAATTGTCTCAAACTTTTAATCATGAGATGGTTAATCATAGTGCCAAACAATATGCGAAAGGAGAGGTTTCGGTTAATGCTATTGAAAGTTTTTGGACTTTTCCCAAAAGAGGTATTTATGGAACTTATCACTTAATAAGTAGAAAACATTCTCAAAAATATATGGACGAATTTGCTCTAAGATTCAACACTAGAAAGTATGAAGAGGAAGATAGATTTAACTTAGCACTTTTCTCAATGATAGGTAAACGAATGACTTATCAGCAATTAATAAATTAACAGCATGAAAGACATAAATACAAAAAAAAGAAAAATTAAATACGAAGGTGAATTAGACTTAGCAGGACATAAGCTATATTGTTATGTTTTGGAAGATGGAGAAAGAGGTTTTTCAACACGAAGCACACAAGAGGTCTTAGGAATAGTTGATAAAGATGGCAAGCAAAAATGGTCGGCAAATAGACTGGGAAAATTTTTAAGCCAGAAATCACTTCAACCTACATTTACAGAGGAAAAAGGGTGGGAAATTTTGACCCAATTGTCTGTTATGATGAAAATGATATTGAAACTCATATTCATAAAGCAACTAACTTAATAGATATAGCTGATGGTATTTTAGAAGCAAGAAATAGCGGAAAGTTGGGAAAGAGAAAAGACATAGTTGCTAGACAAGCCGAGTTAATAATTAGGTCAGTTGCCAAAGTTGGGATTGTTGCTTTGGTAGATGAAGCCACTGGTTATGATAAAGTTAGAGAAGAAACATTACAAGAAATATTAAGATTATATGTTTCAGAGGAAGTTTTAAAATGACAAAAGACTTTTCATGATGAGTTTTATGAACAAATATTCAGACTTTGGAATTGAGTTTTTGACCCTGAAAATAAGAAAAAACCTCTATTTGTTGGTTATCTAACTATCAGGTTGATTTATGAAAATCTGCCTGAAGGTGTGTTAGAAAAAATAAAAGAAAAAACACCAAAGACAAAAGGGGGTCATTGGAGATATAAATTTCATCAATCTTTAACTCCCGAAGTAGGTAAGGAGCATTTAAAGAAGGTTATTTATACTGTGGAAGCATTAGCCAAGATTTCTAAGGATAAGAACCAGTTTTTAAGACTAGTAAAAAAGGTATACCATCCTAAAAAAGACTTATCTTCTTATATAGATATAGAAGCAATGGATGACAGCAAAGAAACCAAGGTTGATAAAGTATTAGGTGCTTTATTAAAAACACCAAAACCAAAGAAGAGTGAATAACACTTTTTTTATTTGGTGTAAAATAGTATATTATTCCC